ATCCAGCCAATCAAAAATGGCTGGAAAGCGCCTTTACGGCAGAAGCGAGTAAATATGCCTGCACGGATTACAGAAGACACCCACGCGAAAATAATGCTTACCCACGCATTTGCGACAGGAGTAATTAACGTCTGCAATTACAATAAAAAATGAGGGAGGTCATTTTGAAAGTACATACAATTTGTATTCATCGTAAAGCTGACTAAATATTCTCTACTTTTTAAGCCAAACCAATCTCTTGACGCCCACCAGTACAGCAGTTTGACAATTTGAAGCCGATTAGGCGGTCTCTGTCAGGATTATCCATAAAATATATGGGAAAATGCTGGATTAAATCTTCTCTGCAGCAGCAATAAGGTGCATAAATAAGTAGGAAGATTTATTACGAGGACTAGGGCAGTAATTTTAAAAATAAGTACAATCCATAAAGACAGAGGACCTCACATGGTTACACATTAAAAGGATAGGGTTGTGAAAGGAAACAATCTGGATTTAACAGTTGACAGACAATGAAGTGGGAAACGACAAGCAAAATAAATTTATTTGACGACAAGTCCTACCTTATCTTAATAACATCAAAAGCTAAAAAAGATTCTGGGTTCTCTGTTCTAACATTACAATAGTGTGTGCGAAACAATCCGACTATTAGGCAGTAAGAACTAAGGGGAAGCACATATCGCCCATTTGTGACAGCAGAATGTTTGATCTCTGAAGCTTTTTGACGCGCCCAGTTTGACTAAACCAACATTATAAACAATGTGGCTGCCTTTGATTATGACGAAAACAAATAAAGTCAAATTAAGGAAGTTGGAGCTTCGGCAAACTGCAATAGCTTCAATAATGTGAATATCGGTGACCGCTTTATAAAAGATCTCCACTTAAGGTCACAGATTAAAATGCGCAATTTAGTGCAGACAAACAAAAACTTAAAAATCGTGAGTTTATGTAACAAAGTTCTACTACGTAGAGACCTTAGTTGGCTTGAAAATGGTAGCTTAGTCCTAACATTATTAATTGGTTTTATTTTTGGCTCATTTTTAGCAAATTTACACTTCTTTGTTTTGCTCGTTTAAAGAGGCTTGATATCGTAAAGATCTAAACCGCCATTTTCGCATGCGACGATATGTTGTGTTGTTGTGGGACCAGTGAAGAGACTCTTATATCGTGATTCGAAATCGAAATTGACCTTGGCATTTTTTGCACAAATTTTCCTTAAAGATATCCTATAACAAAAATTTCGGTTTTCCTTCAAAGCCCAGCATTCAATAAGCGTCTGAATGTTTCCTTTATGGTTCTAAAAAGTGCAGTAGTAATGGGAACTCTTCCATGAATCAGAGTGTTGCTTTAGGGAACTTGCTACATTTGTCTACATAGGCGTCGAATACCATAACTAATTTTACTGAGGCGGACATGGTAGTGCATTGGCAGAAGCTAAGATGGGAATGTCAAGAAATTATTGCGATTTTCTAGTATTAAGTATTAAGACATAATGTGCCAAAATTTTTCCCCATTTGTCGTTACAATTTTTTGGCTGTTTTCTAACCAGGTAAGTACATAAGTTGACAGTTTAAAATAGATTTTAAGATCTTAAGATTTTATGCATGTTAGCTGAGTCGTTGTATAGGATGCATGACCTGAGAATGCAATCTGAAATTCGGGTACCCATGCATGATGCTGACAAGAGTACTTGGATGTAGCACTCCTTTCGATGACATATTAATGAGTTATGCGGCAAGTAACTCAAGATTTGCAACTTTAAATTCAGTTTCTCCAACGAGTCCTGGAGCATGGCTATGCTACAGTAGGTAGGCACTGCCAGTGAAGATATTGCACACTTGTTAGCACTTAAACCCTGGATTTCTGAACCACCGACGAAAGTTCCGGCATTTACACAATAATCTCGACGATGCATTTAATTGAGAGCACTGGATCGAACAGACTTAAATTCGCATCCAACAGTAGAACTCTGAAACGCATAATTATTTAACTACCTGAGAACGCTGTTTCCTCTCCTCAACGTGAGTGTTAGCAGATTCCCTTGAGTACTTATTGCTAGAAGAGATAAGGCAATCACCTGTGGCATCCATCACGAAAATACCATCATAATAATGTGGGCTAGAGCCACAATGAGGTCAAGCGAATGTTTTCAATTCTTCCTTCATTCTCCGTACACCAAGATATGCCCTTTCCTTCAACAAGCAGACGTTAATGACGAATGGTTCCCCACTCAGTGTTTGTTAACTGTCTTTTTCACTTTTCACAGAAGTGCTTTTGGTGTGTCAAAGGTTTACATTCTGGAGCCTTATTTTCTGTCGTATTTTAATTAAACCAAACAGTTGATGAGTTTTGGCTTATATACACCACAACAATTGTGTAAACCTTTGCATTGCCTAACCACCGTATTAATTGCAGTGTGATTACCTGGGATGGTGCAGCTGCTGTCTACGAATTCGTTTGACCTTACATGTGTCTTTTTTGTCTAATTAACCCGGGCGTTTAAACCTACCTGAGGATATGTTTGTTTAACATGCAAAGCTGGCGGATATATTTCATACACCACAACGTGTTCACGGCCTGGGGACATGCGAGAGCTCATCACACCTCACTTCGTGGAGATGAGTCACAGGAATCAGATGTGTGTATGCAATCTCCGGTCTAACAAAATCGTCTGTTAAAACGAAACCTCAAAGCATTTTACATCCCTGCTGTCCCTCATTCTTATCGCGCATCTTCGACTGGGTATCGCTCAACGCAACCTATCTTTAATTGAGCTAACTAAAAGTGCGTACATGTGCATCCCTATCCTTTTCTGTTTGCATGTATGTACATGCATGTGGACAGCTGGTTTCGTGCACACAAACTGACTCTGCGAAAGTGACCTTTCTGGCTACTTTTACGACCTTCCCCAACTGGGTAAAGTATCGGGCACTTCCATGTTTCATCCAACTGACAAACGCCATACCTAAGCCTTTTGTTTGTGGTTGGATTTAAACTATTAATGCGCAAAAAGTAAACGTCAGGTTATGTGGCTGAATTAAATTGCCTGTGGACAAATCTGTGCAATTTTACTTGTTGTTGTTTGTTGTGTGCGTATGTCTTCAACTGTTGTCAAACAAAATCCGGCTAGCTTCTAGACAAAGTAGGCTTAAAATATTAATTTTTCATTAATATTTTCGATTCTTAATATTTGATTGCATTATTGCTTTTTAGTCGACCGTCATTAGTAATTCTATATAGACTGTAGTTGAAAAAATCCAGAAAAATTCAATTCATGTTTTTGAGTAAAGAAGTCTGATGCAGTGTCTGAAAGGTTTGCAAATGTGCATGGTGTTTTACTAAATGAAAATCCGGCGTACTCTTTACATAATCGAGCTTAGAAATATCGGTAGTGTCGACATAAAGCCGATGCGTATCGAGCGCAAACCGTGATTTCGTTTAGCTCAAGTTTTAAGTGCTAATTTGAAGCAAGTTAATGTTATAGGGTGCAATATCAGCGCAAATCCCGCTCTTCTGGTCTCTTACTCCCGTCCTTGTAATTGAAGGAACGTTATGAGATGGTATATTAGGCATCTTTACAGAGCATAGAGTGATAGGGTGGGCGGCCTGGACACATTTTTGGCACAATATTTGTGTTGAATAATGACTCTTTTTGCAAAACATTTAAAACAGTTGATGTTTGTACAGGTGAACTTGCAAATCAGAATTGTAGTTGTAGCAGCTTTACGGATGGCTGGAATTAGGTTGACTTTTGGAAAACGAAGTTTGATAAAAGGTAAATAGCCTCTTACAAGTGACATCCGTCTTAAACAAGTTCTCAATTGAAAAAGTTGGGCACGATATTCTCAAATCTTCAAATGCAACTGTGCGAAGTTATTCTTTATCTCTTCGCCTGTCGACGTTAGGTTTTCCAAAGACTTGGGACCGTAAAATGTAGTGAAAATAAGTAGGGCCAAAAGTGGGTTGTCAATCCTATAAATGTTGAGAGTTTGACGCCATACACATCATAAAAATGGCGCTAAGTCATATTGTTTACTGATCAGCATATTATTTACGCAGTTGCCATAGTCTGTGCTCATATGTTGTTAGTTATCTGCATTTTGACAGAAATTGTGGCATCTGAAAATAATTCTGCCATTTTACACTTAGTCTCGTCAAAAGTAGATGAAGATGCGCACTACAAATCCATACGCTCACATATCTACTGTTCATTTTATGGGTTAAGGTTGTGTGTTTAGTGTGCGGAAAACACTTTTTGAGGGTGATTCACAACCACTAAATACCGTCCTTGGTGTCATTATTTGCAAGACAACACCTTACATTTTAGCCCAAATTTGATAAATGCGTGTTCATTGTGAGGCCAATTGGTGATTGGGTAAGGTCAACACAAACCCTCATATGTATCGACGGTTTTATACGAAACACAATAAATCCATAATTTATATTACAGTGGTTAGACAACTTATTTAGCAGATATACGATTCAATTTCACGGAAATTTGAGGTTATGTTAAGGGACTCATTTAAAAAGCTCTCCAAATTGACTTTTGAAGTCATTTAAACCTTATTCAGTCTATAGAAGTTAATGCAGTTACAGCGTGTGCGAAGAATCTCATCTTTTTGAAAGTTTTGCAGAAGGATAAGTTAGACAAAGCTCTTTTAGGTATTGCAAGACAAAGCAACATCTAGTTAATCGCATCTAATACAACCACAAAATGACCCTATGAAGGGATTCGTACTTTGCATGGGAGGGGAGGAGGGTATGAGCTCCTCCGTATCCTCACGATTTTATCCATCAATGCTGTGTGATTATCACCTTTAGTTGAAAATGTTACAAAATGTACTAAAATAGCACAAAATGTAATACTCTCTTAAGTTGCAAAGACTAGGGTGGTTTGAAATAGCAGTAAGATCAGGTTAACAGATTGGAGATTCGCATGGTGCTTTTTTTGGCGTTTGACTGGATTACAGTGCTGAAGCCTTCAGCATGGACGCGAACATGATGCACGGTTATGGGGTGATGGTAGATAAAATTAGATTTGGGAGACTGGACACCTTAATTAACAAATTGGTATGATTCAAAAGTTGGTTCATTAAGTTAAAGTGGGGAAATCTTAAAGTAATTGCAGTTGAATCGAGCCATTTTACTAGGCTTTTTTCGCTCTTGAATACTGAATTTGACTCCATATAGTCCGACAAACTGTAACAACTTTTATACTTAAAAAGTATCAGTAGATATTTGGGTTAGCTGGCGAAAGTGCTAACCAAGTAGTATGCCAGTGTATTTGTTTATATTGGTCTAATTTAAGACAGCTCGGCCAGGAGTCGTGCATAGACAAATGTTTTTGATCACAGGCAAAACTCTGTCGAAAGAGATGACAAATCACCAACCTCAGCAATAAGATCGGGAACTACGGCATATGCTTGCATTACGGATGTTCCAATAGGGAGACTAACAAAGATATTCAATGGCTACGTTCTTGCATATTTGTGTTATAGTATTAGTAATGCAATAGAAACCTGCTTAAGAAAATTGTCAGGAGAAGGCTTGTAACCTTCTAGATTAAAACATGACTGCTCTACAGAGTTTGAGGCAATCCAAAGAAATAAAAGGGGAGGAAAGAAAAGAAAAGATTTCCCCAGCGCATCTAAATGTGATACAGAAAAGATGCCTTAGAGGTTACAAAGAAAATGGCAAGATAAGTCCTCTTTAGGAATTCGAAAGGTAATTTTACATTAACTTGCCCTTAAGGAGAATGTGGAATTTTGTAAGGATCATTGTCGAAAAGTAGATAACCCAACTTTCAGATTTATTGGACACGAAGTAATTTATGTACATGAGCACAAATCCTTTCTAAGCTTCAAATAAAGGGGAACGGCTACCCCTTCCACACTGGAAATCGTTATTATCAATCGGTATGAACAAGTTGGGAAGAAGATGGAAACCAGATAATAGAAATTCAAGTTGGCTTACCAATTGGTGAGCACCTAAGTTTGTTCTCTATTTTAATTGGCCAGCTGTTGGTGGCCCATAAAAAAGCAGGCGTCGAGGAAACCGAGTATTTGGCATTCTACAATGAGGCTTTAAACACATCATCATCAAAATGAGACATCAAAATCCACCATACAAAATGCCTATGCTGCTCAAAATATCCCGCTAATTCATACGACCACAATCTCGTGGACACTCTTTATTGGTTATGGTATTCTAAGGTACAAAAAGCGTGTTTAAAAAAAATGATCAGAAACCGGAGCTAAGTAACTCAAACGTTGAAATATGGCTGTATGATGCCAAATTTATGGTGGTTAGAAATTTCTTCCACTTTCGATGAAATGTACACTGACCGCCTGCCTTATCCGATGCCCCCTCTTCCTTCCCTCCCCCCAACTTTTGCTTGATCAGGACGTCATTGGGGGGCCCAAAACCTCGGGTGTACTGTTAAAGTAGGAGTGTAAAGAGTTCACTTCCATGACATTGTGGCTATTGTTCAAAGCGAAGTCGGAGTTAAGTGACACCGATGTGTCAAATTCGCCCTTCTCTCCCTGTTATGAATATTCCTCACAATTGTGAGTAAAAATTTGTTTACTCCCTTTTTAAGACATCGAAAAAATCAAAGAGTCAGCAATAATGACAGAGACAGATG